CCCCCCAACACCCCTTTCTGCAAGTAAAACATGGATATATTGAATATTAGAGGTTTTGCAAAATAAAATCCAGACACTGTACGTTTCAATCTGCATGCCCTACCCCGGGCCTGCTTGAAAAAGAAACTTGAGAAAGAAATTTTTATGCAGTAGGGTTGTTTTGCTACACATCTTTAGCATCTTTCTTGAAGTTACCTGGACCGTTGTTGTGAATTTTGCATGTAATAGTCTGTTTTATCTCTAGTTTTGTCAAAGGAGACGTATCATTCTTATCCAATTTGTCGTGCAAAAATGTTATCAGGTTCGAACAGGAGACGGGAAATGGGTGGAGAAGCTGCGGGAGCTGTTAGTACCATTGCTGTTCTAGTAGTTTTCAGGGAATGTGATTTCGAACACTCAAGGCAAAACCTCATCCTTATGTTTTATAGTGAATTTATCAGTCTTTCTAGAAGTAGTTGGAAATTTAGAATGTGATTCTGTTCCATTTCAAGTGGTCCAGTTTATTTAACGTTGGATATGAACTTGCTATTTAATTCCAACTATAAGGAGCAAAATTTTGTTCCAACATTTATTCTCAGCTGAATGTCAGATCGTCAAATTAATTTCTGATAGTTGCCTAGCTTGTGCCGCTTGAAATGTCACTGTGGTCCTGGTTCCAATAATTTCTATGGGCTGTCAACGTCAGTCTCGCTCTTTAATAGACATCATTTGGTTGGAAAAGTTTTAGGAACTTAAGATTTTCGAGTTTCTAAAGGAGTAGAGGCTCGTCTCTTCGGCTTTGTGAGAACTTTACCTACAATTAACCTAGTGAGCTTTAATTTAAGATAGCACAGCAGGCACTTTTGAAACGAGGAATTGCTTGTCTTACCACATCAACTACCTTAAACGTTGGAAGTTTTAGCAATGGGGAGATGGTTAAAGAAAAAACATAGGTACGAAGCTTTAATGCATCTATCGTCAGGCACAAGCACGTTTTATTTTCATGTTCCGAGATATTTTTGAGGTCAATTGTTATTGTGGTTGTGGTGGTAGTGTGGCTAAAATATCCATGTCCAACTGGATTTAGGGTATGCTTGGTGCCCATTACTGAACTCATTTTCATGATATTCTAAATAAGATTTTAACTTATCGTTTTTCTTTAATATTGTCAAATTGTGTACATTCCACCTTATTCCTGCCACGTTACATTTTATAGCATTTGCAGGATGTCTTAACTTTTAATAGTTGAAGCTTGACTCCTCTGGATTTATTAGTTCAAGACGACTTGGAAAAATTAATATGATAAGTGCATATTTGATATACAGTATTGAATATTATAATACACCATATTTTAACTCTTTTTTAAATAATGCTATTTACAGTGAAAATTACTTGTAGTCGTCTTATATGGTATATACATGATAGTTTGTTATTTGATATAGTGTTTTTTGTTATATTATGTATCAAATAACGAACTATCATATATATGGCATGTAAAGCGACTATTGTTAGTTTCACTACCAATAATATTATTCTTTCTCTTTTTTCATTACTATCCAATCTTCTTTACTCGTCCCCCCCTTATATTTCACCGTTTAAGGGGTTTGACTCAATGTAGATATTTGTGAAAATGTCATATTAGGAAATACGTTGGTCAAATTTAAAAATGCAACATTCGACTTCTTATCAACACAATTTCTAAAAATGTAGGAAAAATGTCAAACATGTCTAAGCTTGAAAAATTAATCTATTTTTTAGTGAAATTTTAATTTCTAATGTTTCTATAGGCAACTTATTTTGTAAATCGAAATTACTTATCTTGAAAGAAAAATATTTACAGTAACTTCTATAGACAAAAAATTATTTATCGTAAACTCGTTAAACAAATGTATGTCTTTGAACGCTCCTCATGGGGTGACCGAGTTGATGGAGTAAGTGAGCGAAAGTCTTTGATCACGAGTTCAATTCTCCCTACCAACACTTTCTCGGTTGGGCCTATTGTATCGGGGTTGTTTAGTGCGCTTTACTTGACTGGCGCGATTTGCAGTTTAGTGCGTCAATTCGAAGGTTTATCTAGTGCGCACCCAAAGGGTAGCGACTGCGTGTTTATGTCATAAAAAAATAATAAAAAAAAAGAGAAATTTCATCAAATGTCCATTTTTACCTAGTCATTTGCAAAAATGTCCAATTTGGAAAAATTTAGACAAAATACCCTTATTAACAATTTTTAATTCCACACTGAGACAAAAAAATAGATATTTTTTACAAAATTGTTATTGGCGAATCAAATTTTGACACATAACCTACCATATTTATTTCAAAAGTATACATGTCAAATCACAATAAATGCCATATTTTTCGTTGACTCAGAAATGTCGAGAACGACATTTTCAAATGTAGAGAAATGTCATGTTCAAAATAAAATGTCATTCTAAACAAATGAAACGATATTCAAATGTTGAGAATGACATATGTAATGTTGAGAATGTCTCCGTGACACGGAGGAATTTGTCTCCGTGTCACGGAGACGTGATTTTTTCATTTTTTTTAATGAAACGGTATTCAAATGTTGAGAATGACATATGTAATGTCGAGAATGTCTTTGTGACATGGAGGCAAATGTCGAGAATGTTTCCATGACACGGAGGCGTGATTTTTTCGTTTTTTTAATGAAACAGTGTTCAAATATCGAGAATGATATATGTAATGTCGAGAATGTCTCCGTGACACGAAGACAAATGTCGAGAATGTCTCCGTGTCACGGAGACGTGATTTTTTTGTTTTTTTTTAAAGTATCATATTTTTTGTTTTCACGTTATTTTTTTAAAGCATTATATATATATATATATATATATTTTTTTTTTTTTTGGTCGTCCGAATTTATTTTAATATAATTTCTCATGAAAGCCACTTCTCAAAATTCGTGACAAATTAATAAAAAAATTAAATGTGGAGAATGACATTTAAAATGTTGAGAATACCATTTCAAAATGTAGCTTTTCATTAAGGGCATAATATATAAATTGACAATAAATTCAAATGAGTGGACACTTTTTAACTCATACCATTAAAATTGGTCATTCTTAAAAATGCCTCAAAAAAAAAAATAATGTATGTCTTTGAGCACTTTTCCCGCCAAAAAGATGGCTTTCCATTTTCTGAAGAATTTTGAGACTCAAAACCCTAACAATGGATGCTCTGTACAACACGCATGTCAAGCTCCTAGCTTTCGACTTCCTGAAGCTCACCCTGCACCCCATGGATCCCTCCTCCTCCTCTCGTAAAGGCGCGCGCCTCTCACGTGCAGAGACTCTAGGGTTCGTGGTGACCCGGGATCTCAAACCCAACAAATTCCTGAGATTCACCATTGACGATGGTACAGGTTGCATCCCTTGTATCCTTTGGCTCAACCAGCTCAATTCTCCTTACTTCTCGAGGCGTAACCCATCAGATGTTCGATTAATTGCCGATGTGGCGGCGAAATTAGCGTCAGAAATCCAGCTTGGGGTTTTTGCAAGAGTGCGCGGAAGAATCACGGGATACAGAGGTATGGTTCAAATTACGGTTTCTGATGTGGTCATAGAGAGGGATCCTAATTCCCAAGTTCTGCATTGGTTGGATTGTATTAGATTGGCTCGTAAATGCTATGATAAACTTTGTAAGAACACTGTTTGATAACTAGAAACACTAGAGTCAAGTTTTGGATATGAGCATCATGTTTTGTATTTCTGAATGTTATATTTTTGGGCAAGTTAATTGGTTTGTTTTGTGTTCACTGCAATTGCATAGTAATTTTATGAGGATTTCAATTTTCATGGATCGTACTTTTCATTCGGGATATAATAGTGTTTTACTATGTGCTATTTATATAACATAATCGTACCTAAAGTGAAATACGTATAATTTCTTTCTCCTCGTTCCCTAACAGCCCGTGTCTGGGGGCATAAGGGGTTCCATTTTGGTGTTTTCGAGACAGTTGCTTACCACCATTGAGCGCAAAAACAACTAAGCCTTATTCTCTATAATTTTGGAGTGGGTTATATGAATCTTCTTCCGCCATTCAGTTCTATTAATTATTGCAACTACAACAAACTGTATCTTATTCTCAATAAATTTGGAGAGTTATGTGAATCTTTTTCCGCCATTCCGTTCTGTTAATTATTATATCTTCTATAATAGGCATGTTAGTTTTGGTGTACTCCTCCCTCTTGTGACTTGCTCGACCGAAACTAACGATCCCAACTAACTGCTTCCCCAAATATACAGAGAAATAATGTATAATGAAGAGTGAAGTAATTTAGGAGACCTCTTTGGGGGTGGAATATATCCAATCATCATGGACATACCCTTTAATATAGAAATCACTATCTCCGCTCTTCTCCAATTGCCTTTAGTGATTGATAGGGTACCCGTGAGCCAGTTTTAAGGAAGTATTATTGTTTGATTAGGCATTGGCAGAATGGGTCTATCCCATTTCCCCTTTGCTAGTAAAATCCAAAGCTTAGGTAAATGTATCTCTGATGCGGTATCTTCATCAAAGAATTCGGTTCACATTCAAATTCTAACAATTTCCATATTGACACGAATTTCGGTGCAACATGATAAGTGTATTTTATACACTTATTCGGGGCTCTAAACTATATAATTTTATTGTTCTTTTGGCAAAATATGATCTAAATTTTATTGTATTATTTTTCTTAGGTAAAACTCATGTTTGAACGAAGAATTGAAGAAAGACACAAAAAGGGCGAAAAATGGAACAATCTAAAGTAGTGGACTAAGTTGGACGTTGGATGGAAGTTGGAGATCAAATTTTGCACATTAAAAGAATTGAGGACTTGAAGAAAAATAATCTATTACGTGGGCCTCAATTGGACTAGTCTTGGATTCAGCTTCAATATTTACTTGGACTTCTAATTGGACTACAATTAAAATGACTGAATTATGAGGAATTGAGGTCAGCAGCAGCTAGGTTATTATAAATATACACGGAACACACAGAATTAACAGAGGGGGGGAGCAGCCTGCTGCGAAAATCAATGATATATACAGAATCGACAGCTGCAGAAAAAGGAGAAGACAGAAAATTGGGCTACTTTTATTCTCTATATTTACGCACAGAAATTAAGAAGTTGCTGGGGGCTGAAATAGGATATACATCTCTCGCAATTTGGAGGCGAAAGTAGTCGAACGTAGTGGTTGGAATTGACGAAGTAGAGGGCTGCCTTCTGCCCAATATCATATACACGCATAGAAATTAAGGCAACCTGGTGGGGGATTTAATTTGGTGGCTGAGTGGAGTCATATTCACGCAGCCTTGAGGAGGAAAAAGGTGTTGAAATTTATTACATATCACACGAAGGCCGCAGCAACGAAGGAGAATTAGCTGAATTGGAATATTATCTTACACAAAAAGTGAGCTGCAAAGTGTGAATATAAATGTGTGTGTATATATATATATATATATATATATACACGTCCACAGGAAGCCGAAAGCAAATTTGGAGGCAAGAATTAAGTTGCTGAATTTATAGAGTGGGCAGCTGCTTGGGGAATTGGACGGCTGGAGTCGAAGGAAACACGCGCATACTTGGAATTAATCACGTTTCTTCAACTTCTCGGTGATTTTTAATGTTTGCACACCATTAGGATAATAAGTTGCTTTTTCGTAATGTTGGAAAACTCACGATACGTAGAACACTATTATTGGGACACACGGGCAATAAATATTTGAAATAATATTTGTGACGTGTGCGATCATAAGTGATAATCCTAATTGTCAATGCATGTTCGCCATATGAATTCGAACTAGGAATAAGATCGTCTCGTGGTAAACATAGGTTTATTATATCTTGGAAAAGAATAATAAATAATTGTGAAATTATCGATCGTCGCAATTGCATAAATTGAGATAAGTAACACTAGTTGAGAATTAGAACTAAGCGTTACTCATTGGCGTCTGAAATCCAGTACATTCACATATTTGAGTTTTAAATCAACCTCCATTACTTTTATAAATTTTAGTTTTAGAAATCCGTTAACTATTCACTCGATAGTTTTAGTCACAAACACGAATTCAAATTTATCAAATATCCTAGAATTAATCCTTATTCCCTGTAGGACGATACTTTACTCATCACAATTATTACTTGTCAACGAACCCGTACGCTTGCCGGAATTTACTCGAACAAGTTTTTGGCGCCGTTGCCGGGGAATAACGGTGTTAATTTTAGTTATTAGATATTTTAAATTCGTTCTTATTTTTACTTTTATTGTTTTTATTTTCATTTAATTTTTTTAGTTGTTTTTAGGCTACCATTACACTTTTTAGGCAACTTTAGTTTATGCAAAATCCTGTCGAGCCAGATCTCTTTCCAATAGACCACGAAATTGAAAGAACATTTAGAAATCGTAGAAGAGTTCAACGTCAACAAGGAGAATGGCTGACAACCAAAATCAATCACAGCATCAGGTTCAGCTTCACGAGCAAATACCACAGCCAAATCAACCGAGAGCTAACCAGAACGAAGCTCATGTCTTAGTTGGGGATTACATCAATCCAATTCCCGCACCAGTGCAACCTGCTGTGGTATACCCCCCTTTTGGACAACCTAATTTCCACCTTCGATCAGATGTCATCAATTTGTTTCAAAATCACCAAGACATCAGGTTCTTTGGAAAAGCCACAGAAAATCCTCATGAGCATATTTCTGCTTTTCTCATGTTATGCGAAGTGATCAGTCACGAAGGGATATCAGTAGATGCATTCCGAATGAAATTATTCCCTCACACCTTGAAGGACACTGCTAGAGAATGGTTTCTTTGTTTACCACCAGGGAGCATTCAATCATGGAATGATATGGTTCAAAAATCCACTATGAAATTCTTTCCACCTTCTCGAGTTCACCAAATTAGGAACGACGTCCACACCTTTAAGCAAAAAGATCTCGAGAGCTATCCTGAGGCATGGGAGAGGTTCAAGAATTTTTTCAGAAAATGCCCCAACATCGACATTCCCAAGCAGGCTCAACAATATCTTTTCTACTACGGTCTAAAACAAGAGTTCAGAAATATGATAGATGCTTCAGCAGGAGGATCAGTGATGAAACTTGATGTGGATGAGGCATATGACCTGTATGAAAAAATAGCTGAAAACCAATCAATGTGGCCAACCGATAGGGAAGCTCCAAGGAAAACATCAGGGTTACACAACGTAGATGCAGTGACAGCATTGGCCGCGCAAATGGAAGTTCTTACCATGAAAATGGACAATCTATCTAAGTCAGTCAACATGGTACACCAATCGCCACCTGTTTGTGAAGGCTGTGGAGCGGATCATGCTAGTACACGCTGCCCTTTGGCGTCTACACATGTTAATCAATCCGAAGAAGTAAGTTACGCACAGAACTTTCAGAGACAGCAAAATAATCCTTTCTCCAACACATTTAATCCGGGTTGGAAGAACCATCCAAATTTCTCATGGTCCAATAATCAAGGACAAGAACAGGGAGGAAGCAATCAGAATAAATCACCAGGATTCCAACAGCAGCAACAGTAAGGGAGAAGGCCATCGTTGGAAGATTTGCTGGCTCAATACATTACTAAAACTGAGACCAACTTTCAAAACCAACAAGCCTCGATCAAGAATTTGGAACAACAGGTTGGACAAATTGCAGCCGCACTATCAGGTAGAGCTCAAGGGACATTGCCTAGTAATACTGAAACAAACCCTAAGGAACAGGTCAAAGCAAAATCAAACTTCTTCACCTTACGAAAAATTACTCATCCCCTTCCATAGTATCCGTAAATGATACCCAAACCCGAACCCAAACACAGAGTTCTCAAAATTTCCACAAGAAATTCAAGATTTACCAACAAGGTTGAAGCACATTCTGTAACAGAATCAACTCTCATTACTTTCACTGAAGGTCCATTGCTAGTCTCGACACCTTCAAAAACCCCATAAGTATGCGCAACCAAATTAGCATCCGCATACCTATCTCCAATAGGTCTATTCCTAGTAGTTGAATACGATGGAACCGCGGACAATGTAGGTAAATTGGAATTATCCATATCCTCCAAACTCGACTGAGTAGTATTCTTTTATATGAAAGCCAAATTTCAAAGGTACAGTACCAAACTGAATTTCGACCACGTTACTAAGCTTGTGCTGATTTTCTTCATCAATTCTGCTCGACCTTGCAAAATGTATAATTTTGACCTTTTTCCCCCTCCAATACAACGCAAACATCCTTCCAGACCCTTAAGACTCCACCTGCTCCAAAAAACGTGTACCTTTTTGAATCAAGAGTACTCAACAAAGTTATATTATTTTTCAAATCCAAAATATGTCGAACGTGATCTAGTGTTATACATGTTCCATCTATCAACTTTAGTCTGACTCTACCAATACTAGCTACCCGACAAAGTTCGTTATTACCCATAACATCGACACATTGTATTATCGTTTCATGTCTCAAATAAATTCCGTTTAGGACACATATGGAATGTAGAAGCTAAGTTGAAAATCCACTCGTCAAGTTTGGATCCCACATCAGAAATTGTCCAGACTTCTCCATCACTCAAATAGTCCTCTACTATGTTGGTCTCATCCGAAGTTTTTGATTGATTATCGTGATTTGCAGTCGAAGTGCCTTTATTCTGCAATTTTTCGCAATATAGCAAATCTGATTGCTGAAACTCGATTTTACTTACCCTTTGCCGATTACCATAAACCACAAGACCTTTAACTCTGGAGTCAAATCCAACCAGATGCTTCATCTTCTCCTTTGAGAACAGTATATCATATATGTCTTCAATGGTGAGAGTATCACGATCATACAAAATTGTGTCCCTAAACGAAGCAAATGAAGTGGGGCAGCGAACACAACAGGATTAAGGCCAAATCTTTTTCATCATACTTCACCTCTAGTGTCTTCAAATTAGTGACGATTTTCTTGAACACAGCCTGATGATCTTCCAAAGATCCGCCTTCTGCTATGCGATAAGAATACAATCTTTGCTTCAAATGTAATTTACTTGTCAGACTTTTAGTCATGTATAACTGCTACAGCTTCAACCACAACGTAGTTGTCTTCTCTTTTAAAACGTCCTAAAAAATATTATTAAAGAAATGAAGATGAATATGTGAACGAGCCTTTCGATCCTTCCCTTGTTTTTCCCTGTTGTCCAAGTTGTAGGCATTTTGTCAAATCCTAACAACGCATCATCCAAATCCATCTGCGCCAACACAGCTCGCATCTTTACTTGTCACAACGAAAATCTTATATTGCGATCCAAAAGCGAAATTTCATATTTCATGATTGCCATCGATAATAGAAAGCCTCAAACAAAATCACAACCAATAGCTATGATACCACTTGTTGGGAACAGAAAGGCAAGTATGGCGCGATATGAAGTATTGATTGCACACGCAAAAATAAGATTGAAGCAAGAAGAGAGCCATTGATAAATCGAAAAAGAAATCTTTATTTGTTCTACCTTCTATTTTTTATGAAGAGAATGAATTTGCCCTCCATAGGTTCACTTATATAAGTCGCGGCTAAAATTGCAAAAATAAGAACTTGAATACCTAACAGGGATAGGAACCATTGAAGCTACAAAAGAAACAAGAACATTCATTTCTGTTGATTTTATTTAAATGGAATTCCTAATTTTAAAGATTTATTATTGATGAGCTATAACAATTGCACCTATTAAAGCCACTAAAAGAATTTAATCAATAATATTAACATATATTGTTTCATGCTTAGACCAATAGATCCAAGAAAATTTTTTATATCCTCGACTCAAAAGGGAGAAATGAGTTTGGATATTATGCTGATTCAGAAGAATTTAACTCTTCCAGAATTGATGAAAATGGGAATTTTGATCCCTCTTGACTCTTCAAAGAAGAAGTTGTTCTGTTAAATGTGTACGCACTTTCTTTGAGAAATGATATAGACATAGTGGTTGTCTAATGAGAGACAATGCAATGATAAGATCTTTTCTTTTGATACATTTACTTTGTTGAACTCGGGATCTTTGATACATGCAAGTATTTTTGTTGGAACGCTGATGTTATTAATTGACAACCAATAGAGAGAAAATACAATTTTAACAATGCATAAACTAGAAGAAGGGTTAAATATATATATATAGGGACAATCCAAGCCTTAGAAGCAGGGTTGTGGATGAAATAAAATGCCCAAAAGTTCCATTTTCTTGATCTTTTTAGGTTCAATACAAATTTCAAGTCTTAATAGGGCTTCCAAATAGAATTTCAACTAGAATTTGTCAATAGACTTTGAATAGGATTCCAAAAGCATTCCAAATAGCATTCTTCTTAATGTGCACTTTAATTAGAACTCCCAATTATCTTTATCAAAGAATTCGGGTCAC